TTCTTGTTAAATATTTTTATTTGATTAAAAAAATTTTCAATTATTATTTACATAGATGATTAAATTTTTATTTAAAATTTATATCTTAAAGTCAAAACGTTAAAATAGATTTATTAAAGATAAATGAAAGGAATATTAAATAAACAGATGTTTATAAATACAAGTTCACACCTCCCATTAAGTGAAAAAAAAAAAAATGATATGCACAGCAACTATTATCAACCAACAAATATCAAAGGTGAGTCCCATGGTTGTCTAAAATTGCCCCTTGACATTGCTCTTTTGTATTGGGTTTTTTTGTCTTTTTACACAAAACTACAAAGCCATGTTTGTGTTACTGTTCCTAAACTATTCATTTGATTTTAGAGAGATTCAAGCTCAGTTTTTTTAGTCATTTCAGATTTGTCTAGCCATAACACTTTAGTGATCGTTATTTTTCATCGTGCCATCAAGTCTCTCCAAGCAGCAGAATAAGCCCTGCATGCTCTAAATCGGTCAAGTTTCGCCATGGAGTACAAAAGAAATTCTAATAAATAAAAAGAAATTAGATTAGAAGAGTTTTTATTTGATGAGTTGTGACCTAGAACGAACCTGAGATGAAAAAAAACTTTGGTCTCAATAATTTTACTCGGTTAGCATACAAAAGGACTTTACTTTAGGTTTACCCCTATTTTTCTCGTTTGACTAATGGAAAATAGAACTAATTCTAATCTAATTAATGCTTTCAAAAATAAAACTTAAACGACTTCACTGAATTTGTAATCTATAATTTCAAAACTTTTATGGCGGAGTCAAGATCAAGAGTTTCAACTCAATAATATCTAAACACACATAAACTTGTGTATAAAAAGAACAAAAAAAGGGGGTAAATTGAGGGGTAACAATTTAAACTAATATCTAAGCACATAGATTCAGTAATCCATTAACCATCCCACATTGACATTTAAACAAACATGACCGAGGTAGTTATGGTTTGTTAAGAAGGAAAAAATATTCTATCAATATGCTTTATTTTATTTTGGGCCACATATATGTAGTTATACGATGGGATAAACTGCAATTGTTTTTGCTAGTAGAAAAGGTTTCATTTATTGCTATCTTTCACATTCTATCTAGTCTTTTTTTTTTTTTTTTTGTTCATCATCATCCAAAGGTACACAACTTGCATGCAATAACTTGTAATTGGACCTCTCACTTGTCACCAAGGTACACAACTTGCATGCAATGACTTGAACTTGCATGCAATAACTTCTAATGGGGCCTCTCACCTATCACTGGGTACACAACTTGCGTGCAATAACCTCTAATGGGGCCATACAATAACTTGTAATAGGGGGCACGCAACTTGTAAGCAATCACTTCTAATGGGGCCTCTCACCTGTCACTAGTGTAGATTTTATTTTGTACTAACCACCTCCCAATATCTAGAAGTTATATTAGGTTCTTGACTAATATGAAATTGAGTTGAGTTGCATCTTATAAGAGGAGAAACTCTACTAGTGTCTGTTTTTTTGTTTATAAGACTCGAACTTTAAATCTTACTAAAAAAAATTAAACTCCTTCTACTTAAATTAAATAATTGTTCAGTGTCACCAAGGGTAAATAACTAGATACA